AGATGCAAATAGCAGTCTCTGAGAAAGAAATCTTCTCCTCACTATTTTATTATTTAAAATTTTCAAACATGAAACATTTAAATTATTGTTCAGTGAATATTCATGTAGTTGGCATGTGGATGCAAAAATGAACATCTTTAAAAGGCTTGTATGATGCTGATGTGTAGTTAATTTTTTTTCTTCACCCAGCTATAAATGCCGGGGTAAGAAAAATCAGCAGAGCCTTAGCCAGTTTGACTCAGTGGATAGAGCGTTGGCGTAGGGACTGAAAGGTCTCAGGTTCGATTCTGGTCAAGGGCATGTACCTTGGTTGTGGGCACATCTCCAGTAGGGAGTGTGCAGGAGGCAGCTGATTGATGTTTCTCTCTCATTGGTTTTTCTAACTCTCTATCCCTCTCCCTTCCTCTCTGTAAAAAATCAATAAAATATATTTTAAAAAAGAAAGAAAAACCAGCAGAAAAAAAAACACCAACAATCTGATTAATTTAGATTAATTTGCTTTGATATAATCCATGACTTAGTCATTCATTTTTGGTGTGGTGGAGTTGTGAGAAATAGAAGGAGCCCTGGCAGGTGTGGCTCAGTAGGTTGAGCGTTGTCTCGTGCACTGAAAGATTGCCGGTTTGATTCCTGATTGAGGCACATGCCCAGGTTGCTGGTTCAATCAGGTGCATGCAGGAGGCAGCTGATCTGTTTCTCTCTCTCTGCCCTCCCTTCCTCACTCTAAAACAAATAATAAAAAATAAAATTAATCTTAAAAAAAAAGAGAGAAATAAAAAGGACTTAGCCCTTGAGAAGGTCTTGATTGGGTGGCTCATTTCCTCCTGTCAGTAGCTATCACGGGAATGGTGTGTTTCACCAGCTGACTTCATCCTCCACAGAGAACTTTCCAGCACTAGGAGAAAATGGAAAATTCAGTTAACTTCTCCCCAGAACAGTAGATTTTGTGGGGTCTGAAAGCACAATAGCTGTACAATCCTAGCCAGTCTCTATTGATAATGCTCACCCTGTTTGGAGAACTGAAGAAATAACACGGGTTTGAAATATTCCATCATAAAATTGGGCTGGGGTGGGAGGAATGTCACTTTGGGGGCATTTCCATGGTTTTGATCAAATACTCATGCGTGCAGAAAATGTTCTGGATTACAACCGTTTTGACTTGGTGAAAGTTCCAGTCTGCATCTTGGTCCTTCCTGTTGGCCGGTGGGCAGGTTAAGGAAGGCACAAAGGCTGTGGATGTCAGGTGGTTCTCCAGCTGAGTGACCTGGCCGAGCATTGCTGGAGGCCCTGCCCTCGTTACCTTTCCAGTATTTACCTCCGCACGTTCAGTGGGAGGACCAGGACTCATACTCTCACTCCGGCTCCATCCTCTTCCTCGGGGCTTCAGATCATCTTAAACAGGTGAAGTGGTTCCACAGTGGTCTTCAAGGTCCCTGCTAACTGCTCTTTACTTATGTCCCAAACACAGATGATTGGTGTCTGATTTAGGTGATGCTATAGAGCAGAGGTTCTCATAGGTCATACATTTGAAACAAGTGGGAAGCTTGAAAATCGACTTGATGCCCCAGCTGTTTCCCCAGAGTGCAAACCAGGCTTTGTGGTGGTTAACTTAGTAACGCACAAGATGGAAGATAAAATTGGAGAAGCCAAGTGGGTAAACACATTCGTCCCTGTATATTAGAGTTGGCTCTAGTTGTTCATGAGTATGTAAAAACATCAAGTTTTCAGGTACTTGGGAATTTACTTGACCATTCACTGCAAGGTGGGAACTTGACCCTGTCAGTGAGTGGAAGGGTCCCGGGTTTGAATCCAGTAAAGGGCACATGCCAGGGTTGCGGGCTCAATCCCCAGTGGAGGGCCTGCAGGAGGCAGCCTATCAATGATTCTCCTCATCATTGATATTTCTCTCTCCCTCCCCATTCTTCTCTGAAATCAATACTAATATATTTCAAAATAAATAAAAATAAAAGTCAATGGGAAAAAAAAATATCCTCAGGTGAGGATAAACAAAAAAAAGAGAGAGGATGAATTCCTAAGGGCTGTTTGAAAGTATGATTTTGCACTTTAAAGACGCTGGTATGACGCTCCAAATACTTCTCAGGGAGGACAATGCATGGTGTCACTTAGGTGAGAGCAGCACATCCAGGAAGAAGGTTCAAAACCTCTGACCACGAGGAGCCCTCAGGGGGCGCAGCTGGACGACCTGGTTACAGCAACTGTGAAACCCCGAGAATTGTGGGACTTGTAGTGTCCGCATTACTTAAGCTTCGCAAACTACATTACCCAAGATGCAATGTAGCAAGTCCGCCCGCTGTCGGACGTGAAGTGTCAAGTCCCTTAAGCTGTGAAGGTAAGTGCGCTCCGGGGGCTGCGAGGTTCCAGAGGCCGCGGTTTCTTAAAGGGACGGCGTGTCCCCTCCGCGCCCCCGGGGGACCTGGCAGAGGGCAGCTGTCCCAACGGGGCGTGTTTCCAGCGGGGCTCCCCCAGCCCGTGGTCTCAGGCGTTAGGACTCCATTTGAGTAGCTGTTCACGTGGAATGCCAAGGAGAAATCGGGGTCCCGAATCCAATCTGGAAATCCAAACACAAAATAACGTTCGCATGTGGGGCGCACGTGACGAGGCGATTTCTGCATTCTACCAAACAATGCCAACGCCGTGCGTTTGCAGCTAGAACGCGGACACACAGGGGTATGATGACTTGCCGGGTTTCACTACTGTTGCTGTAGACAAGTTAGCTGTTTGCAGTCGAGAGTAACTAAAATGACATGGGGAAAACGAAAAACAAGAGGTGTGCGTGTGCTTAATTATATCAGTAAAATAAAGTCTGAGCAGACAACTTTACTAACACCTGGCACACCTAGAACTCAAATGTGCTTCCTTAGCGCGTGAGGAAATAGGTAGTTATGGTTGCAGGTTCAGTTCTCCGTTGTGGGTTTGATCCCCATCAGGGCTGTATGGAGGCCGCCAATCATTGTTCTCTCTCACTTCAATGTTGCTCTCTCTCCCTCTCCCTTGCTTGAAACATTGATGGGGAAAAACATATCCTCACCTGAGGATGAAAACATAATAATAATAAGATAATTCTAATTTACAAAACGGGATGTAGGGTAACGGAACACAAAGTTGCCCAAGGGATGGTATTAACTAAAATATAAGTATATTCCTCTGAGGGAGCCATCTGCAGATGCAGTCGGAGATGGAATAGCAATGAGGCATTGTGGGATTTAAAGGATATTGAGGTAAGCCACTAACCTCTTGAAGTTTATAAGGAATTCTGCTGACCAGCTGGTGTTACTGGGAGGTTCACAGTAGGGCCTTAGATGATACTGCTTTACCAATTTTTACTTTATCCTCCTTTTTTTAAATGGGCTATGTTTTTACAGCCCCCGCTTTTTAAAAAAAAGAAAAACACACCAAAATATGCAGTTTCCTTAAATGCAGAAAGCCTCTTTAAGTTAATTTTCATCTGATGGCTGCAGACAGCAGAGCTCTGGCGGTCAGTTCTTAAGAGGCCAGGGAGGTGAGATTGGCTCGCGCTGTGAAATGGCCCCGTGTGGAGACGGCTTTGTTTGTGGAAGGCATTAGGATTTCTTGACCAAAAGAGATGATTAAAAACATAATAAAAAGGTAGGCTGTTGCTTCGGGTGGACTTCATGGGATCCAGGAGGTGTGCTGGAATCAGTGTGCACTTGTGAGATCCCAGGAGTTACATATTCAGGCGTTTGCTGGCCAGTGATGAGGCCGTGGGCAGCGTGAAATGGGCCAGGAGGGATGATTGTACCTTTTGCTGAAGGGGAATGGGGAAAGGGCCAGTTTTCTCTGTGAGCCTGGAGCCCCATGTGCAATACATCCCTGAGTCATCAGATCCTGAGCTGGCTCACGCCCTCCCACACTTTGCACATGATTGATTTGGGTTTCAAAGTAAGATTATAAGTACACTCTAGGGTGAGTGGAGGGAAGGGGGCTGTACCTTTCTAGTGGAAAGTATTTCTAGTGGCATCCAGCCGCTCAGGCTTGGTACCCTAACTCATCTGCTCCTCCCTCTCCTTAACCCCACATCCAACCAACCATGAGACACTGGGGTCTTTTCCTAAGTGTCTCTGAGACCCTTCTCTTCCTCTCCATTGTCACCGTGGCCTCCTAAGTCAGCTACCACTGCACACCCCGCTCTGCCAGTCTTAGCTCTCACCTCCCTTTCCCAGGCCCACTCCTGCCGGCTTCACTCATTGTTATAGCTGAATGATACTCCACTCTGTGGACAGACCGCATTTTGTTTATCTGCTCATCAACTGACGGTTATCTTTGTTTTTTAAAAACATTTTTAAAAGCCTGAAAAACATAAACAGCAACAAAAAGAATTTATACAAAACAAGCAGGCCATCCCCTCCCCCTGACGTTCACAGATACAAAGAGCAGATTGGTGGGGGGCCAAAGGCTGGGGTGGGGTGGAGGAGAAATGGGTAAAGGTGATCAAAAGGTATAAAACTCCCGTTATGAAATAAGTGCATGAATACTGTAGTGCATATTTGAAAGTTGCTAAGAGAGTAGATGTTAAAATTCCTCATCACAAGAATAACATTTTTTTTAAATCCATCTCTTTTTTTCTTTTTTAAAAAAAATATATTTTATTGATTTTGTACAGAGAGGAAGGGAGAGAGATAGTTAGAAACATCGATGGGAGAGAGTCATTGATCAGCTGCCTCTTGCACACCCCCTACTGGGGATATGCCCGCAACCAAGGTACATGCCCTTGACCGGAATCGAACCCGGGACCCTTCAGTCCCCAAGCCGACGCTCTATCCATTGAGCCAAACTGGTTTCGGCCAAAAATAACATTTTTATAACTGGTGACAGATATAACTAAACTTATTGTGTTGATCATTTCATGATATATCCAAATACTGAGTCATTGTTGTACACCTGAAGCTAATATATCAATTATACCTAAACCAATCGATCACTCAGCTGGTTTTTCACACTGAGGTTCCTCTCTCTCCAGAATGAAGGTGAGCCTCGGGGTGCCCCTCAGGGCAGTGAGAGGCTGCTGGGTGGTGAACCTCAGCCAGCAGTGCTCGCACGGCTCCGTGGGGTTGTTTGTGCCACCGAGTCCTCCCGTGGATCCCGAGAAGGTCAAAGAGCTTCAGCGCTTCGTCACTCTTTCCAAGAGACTCCTGGTGATGACCGGGGCCGGGGTCTCCACCGAGTCCGGGATCCCCGACTACCGGTCGGAAAAGGTGGGGCTCTATGCCCGCACTGACCGGAGGCCCATCCAGCACCAGGATTTCGTGCGGAGCGCTCCGACCCGCCAGCGGTACTGGGCCAGGAACTTCGTGGGCTGGCCTCAGTTCTCCTCCCGGCAGCCGAACCCTGCCCACTGGGCCCTGAGCCGCTGGGAGAGGCGGGGGAAGCTGCACTGGCTGGTGACCCAGAACGTGGACGCCCTGCACACCAAGGCGGGGAGTCGGCGCCTCACCGAGCTGCACGGATGCATGCACAGGTGTGAATGCAGAACGTGTGAGGGCAGCGGCCGTGGCTGACCTGGTCACTGCTGTGTTGAAACAGGATTTGGGAGCAAATTTAATTTGGAGTTGATCCCACCAATCCCGTTGAGGGAGTGAGGAAGTGAAATGGGGAAGGCAGGAAAGCCAAAAGGGTAGTTAGTGAACGGGTTACTGCTCCGGGCTGCGGGGCCCTCTGTCTGGAGAGCATGCTTCAGAGTTCTCCCTGAAAGCCAGGGCAGCTGGGTGCTTAGCCAGCATCTCCCCTCCCTTGCTGGTCAAAGGTCACTCTGAGTCTTGGGGGACTAACTCCCTAACACTGACTCTGCTCCTCCAGAGGAAGCTTGCTGGGCCACAGGAAGCTGTGTGCAGAGGCTGGCCTAGGGGTCTGTGAGCAGAGCACCAACAACGGGCACTACACACTGCCGCGTCTCTGGTGCCAAACACCCAGAACGCCGTGGCCGGCATGGGAGTCAGAGCCCAGCAGGCATTGCTGGAGTGAATACGTGCAGCCCTGGCAAACACTGGTAGCTAAGAGGCCATTGCCTTATCTTTAGCCCCAGGATCCTCCTGCCAATCACAAAATATTTATTGAGCCCCTTCCAACATGTAGTGTGTCCTGTGTGCTACTTGGTGTGGAGGGAGTGAAACCAGCGTATGAAACTTGGTCTACTTTACATGTGAGAACTATGTAACCTGCCTGGGGGAGACCCCAGAACAACGTTTAATGACCAACGACTCCTCACGTGATTGTTAAATGGTGTGGCCCTCTATGGACAAGCCTTATGAGTTCAGAGACCCAGACTTAGTGAAGATTGGAGAAAGCGGGGAAGCTTTTGTGGGTGAGGCGGAGCTTTTGTGGGTCTAGTCAAATGCCCTTGACTAGAATCGAATCTGGGACCTTTCAGTCCGCAGACCAAAGCTCTATCCACTGAGCCAAACCAGTTTTGGCAGATTCAAAGATTTTTATCATGCTACTTTATCCCTTCTCTCCCTGTCTCTTTGAAACATTTTTACACAAATCCAAGATTTCTTATCATTGCAGGAGGGGCCTTTTAAATAAAAAATACACAACAGCCGAGGCCGGTATGGCTCAGTGGTAGAGCGTCGGTCTGCGGACTGAGGGGTCCCGGGTTTGATTCCGGTCAGGGGCATGTACATTGGTTGCGGGCACATCCCCGGTGGGGGGTGTGCAAGAGGCAGCTGGTCGATGTTTCTCTCTCATTGACGTTTCTGGCTATCTCTCTCCCTCCCTCTTTGTAAAAAATCAATAAAATATATTTTTTAAAAAATACACAACAGCCAGGACCGGTTTGGCTCAGTGGATAGAGCGTCGGTCTGCGGACTGAAAGGTCCCAGGTTCGATTCCGGTCAAGGGCATGTACCTTGGTTGCGGGCACATCCCCAGTGAAGGGTGTGCAGGAGGCAGCTGATCGATGGTTCTCTCTCATCGATGTTTCTAACTCTCTAACCCTCTCTCTTCCTCTCTGTGAAAAATCAATAAAATATATATTTTTTAAAATACACAACATAATCTGATGGTTGACTAGATCGAGTAAAAGAGGTTTCCCCCAGGGTTTCAGCCCAAATCACTAGAGAAAGCTGGTGATGGGGAAGCTGGGGGTGGAGGCGTGCGGTTGAAGACGGAAGGTGAGTCTGACAGGTCAGTCAAGGACTTGGGAGGTGGACTCCAGTGTGGGGGGAGAGCAGGAGTGGAGTCCTGTGCAGAGGAATCCACGAGCACAGGCATGAGGCGGTGTAAACAGTCCCCACGCTGGTGTTGCTCAGTGGTTGGTTGAGTGTCAACCCATGAACCAAGAGGTCACAGGATCAATTCCTGGTCAGGTTGCAGGCTCGGTCCTCAGTAGGGGGCATGCAGGAGGCAGCCCCCTACTGAGGACTGATGCTTCTATCTCTCTATGCCTTTCTAAAATCAACAAAAACGTTAAAAAACAAATAAAATATTTAAAAAATGAAAGGATGGTGATGGATAGCAATAATTACAGTAGATGGACCACAGGGAATGGAGAGGGAGACTGGTTTTGGTACTAAGGAGCTCATTTATGTGGTAGAGAATTTGCAGTCGTGCTAAGGATAAAAACCAGCTGGCTGGAGGGTAAACAGGGAGTTTAGTAAGGACACAGAGGTACCTTACTTGTTCTAGAAGGTGCACAGGGGGAGGAGGGGAGAAACGGAGGGAGCTGAGGAGGGTAGGAGACGCTGTTCCTGCCGCTGGGCTGGGCGATGGGAACAGGAAGTGGCGGTGCAGGGACTAAAGAGTGCTGGGGCCGCCCGTCTTTGGGGCACGTGGCTCCCAGGACGGCCGCTCACCCACCGGCCTCCTCTCCGGCCTCCTCTGTGGTTGCAGGGTCCTCTGCCTGGACTGCGGGGAGCACACCGCACGCGGGGAGCTGCAGGGGCGCTTCGAGGCCCTGAACCCCGCCTGGAGCGCCGAGGGCCACGGCCTGGCCCCCGACGGCGACGTCTTTCTCACGGAGGAGCAGGTGCAGAGCTTCCGGGTGCCCCCCTGTGCGCGCTGCGGAGGCCCCCTGAAGCCAGACGTCGTTTTCTTCGGGGACACGGTGAACCCCCACAAGGTCGACTTCGTGCACCGGCGCGTCCGAGAGGCCGACTCCCTCCTGGTGGTGGGGTCGTCCTTACAGGTACCGGCCGGTCACTGCCGTGGGAGCCTCTCGGGGCCCCACTAGCCATGTCTCCCCGCGTCCAGCGATCTCTAACCTGTGCCCACCCCCCCAGGTGTACTCTGGCTACAGGTTCGTCCTCACCGCCCGGGAGGAGAAGCTGCCCATCGCCATCCTGAACATCGGGCCCACGCGGTCGGACCACCTGGCGTGCCTGAAGCTGGACTCTCCGTGCGGGGAGCTGCTGCCTTTGATAGACCCGCAGTGACCAGCCGGCCTCCCTGAACGGAGCGGGGCCTTCTGCGGGTCCTGCTGCTCAAGGTCAGTGCCTCTCGGAGACACGGTTCCAGAGCCCGTTCACCGGAGAGCACTGACAAAACACAGATGGTTCTAGGCTGCTGCTGCTTCCTTTTTTTTGGTCTTTTAAAAAATAATTTTTATTAATTTCAGAGAGGGAGAAATAGAAACATCAATGATGAGAAAGAATCATTGATGGGCTGCCTCCTGTACACCCCCTACTGGGGATGGAACCCGCAACCAGGGCTTATGTCCTTGACAGGAATCCAACCCAGGACCCTTTGTCCACAGGATGACGCTCTATCCACTGAGACAAACCGGCTAGGGCGGTTCTAGGCTTCTCCTTTTTTTTATATATATTTTTATTGATTTTTTACAGAGAGGAAGGGAGAGAGATAGAGAGCTAGAAACGTCGATGAGAGAGAAACATCCACCAGTTACCTCTTGCACACCCCCCACTGGGGATATGCCCGCAACCAACGTACATGCCCTTGACCGGAATCGAACCTGGGCCCTTTCAGTCTGCAGATCGACGCTCTACCACTGAGCCAAACCGGTTTCGGCTCTAGGCTTCTTAATGTGTGGCCATTATAAATTTAATTTGTGATGTACATTAAGCTTTGAAAGACTATGATTTTCAAATTGTAGGTACATAGGTATTTAAATGTCCCAAAATCTACCTTAACCTTTTCTGTTGTATTTTTTTATTTTTATTATTTATTTATTTTAAATCTTGGCAAAGTCAATTTTTCTTTCAAAGACTTCTTTTTTAAAAATATTTTATTGATTTCTTATAAAGAGGAAGGGAGAGGGATAGAGAGTCAGAAATATCGATGAGAGAGAAACATCGACCAGCTGCCTCCTGCACACACCCCACTGGGGATATGCCCACAAGCAAGGCACATAACCTTGACTGGAATTGAACCCGGGACCTTTCAGTCCGCAGGCCGACGCTCTATCCACTCAGCCAAACCGATCAGGGCTGTTGTGTGTGTGTGTGTGTGTGTGTGTTTTAAATAACAGCTTTATTGAGATATAATTCACATACCTTTAAAAGTATACAATTAAGCCCTAACTGGTTTGTCTCAGTGGATAGAGCATCGGCCTATGGACTCAAGGGTCCTGGATTCAATTCTGGTCAAGGGCATGTACCTGGGTTGCAGGCACATCCCCAGTGGGAGGTGTGCAGGAGGCAACTGATGGATGTTTCTCTCTCATCGATGTTCCTAACTCTCTATCCCTCTCCCTTCTTCTCTGTAAAAAATCAATAAAATATATATTAAAAAAATAGACCTAAATTAGTTTTAAAAAAAAGTGAAACAGTAAAAAAAAAAACCAAAAAAAAACAAATAAATAAATAAAAGAAAGATAATTCCTGACCTTTACTTGTGGTAAATACAATAAATAATAAAAATATAAAGCAGCCGAAACGAGTTTGGCTCAATGGATAGAGCGTTGGCTTGGGGACTGAAGGGTCCCGGGTTCGATTCCGGTCAAGGGCACTTACCTTGGTTGCGGGCATAGCCCCAGTGGGGGGTGTGCAGGAAGCAGCTGATCGATGACTCTCTCTCATCGATGTTTCTAGCTCTGTATCTCTCCCTTCCTCTCTGTACAAAATCAGTAAAATATATTTTAAAATATATATATATAAAGCATATATGTACATACATTGAAATGATGGAACTATTTTATAAATAAATGGGAGATGGCGATATAACCACGAGACGACTCGTGTTGAGTCCGACGTAACCTGAGGACTGCCTGTAATTTTTTTAATGCCATAACTGAACGGTAGGCTGGTTCCCAATCATTTCCCCTCTCCACTCTTGCCTTATTTTGGCATCAATCTGTTTCATTTCTTTTCAGATCCCTAAGGATTCGTCCTTCTTCCTTCAGCCGAAGCTCACCGAGTGCAGCCTGTAGGGGGCAGCAAACCCGCGCCGCTCTGCCGGCCTCTCCGAAGTGGGTCGTTTCTGAGCCTCGGAGTTCAGTCTTTCCGTTGATGAGATTTGCCCCTGAAGACTGGCTTTTTCAAAGCAGCAGCTTCTCCTGATGAGAAAATGCTTTCAGTCCCTTTTTATCTCTCAGGCAGAAGAAACGGCCCAGAATATGTGGGTCAGGATGGTCTCCGGAGGACTAGTCCAGGGAGCACTAGTGTGTGTGTGTGTGTGTGTGTGTGTGTGTGGCGGGGGGGGGGGAGTAATGGGAGTAGGAAATGACTTAATTTCTTATTCTAAATGGTTCAATGTCTTTCACTGCACTGTTTTATTTTTTGAAAAGATGAACTATGCCATGAATTAATTGTTTATTAACCCAGGAATAAAGGAGTCCTTTTGAATAGCACACCAGGTAGGCAGGCTGCGCGTTTCTGTTTTTTAATCAGCTACAAGCAAACGGGACTTGACGACACGGTTCTCTAAGGATTGCCGCTTCATTTCAGCCCAAATGAGACACCTGCCTTGAACCCGGTCTGCAGGGAGGAAACAGGGAACTCCCAGGTGGGATCTTAAATTGATTTGTTTCTGCTGGGGAGGCAGCACGACTTGTCTGGTGACTGCCTTAGCCAGAAAGAACCCTTGTTCCAGGGCAGAGCTTTCTGCACAATCTCATCAGGAAGTGAAGCGGACGGAAGAATCTCAGGCTTTTGTCTACAATTAGGGCGAGCAGTGCAGGCTCACCCTGCCCCTGCCTGGAAGCAGATTTCAGTTAACGGGGTGGCCAGGCTCGGAACACCCAGTGCTTCTCACCCGCACAGCTGGTGGTGTGCCGCAGCCACGGGTGAGCTCTGAAGAGGTGTACGGTTTTGTACTCTCATCCCAGCTTTTTTGCACGTGGAGATCCTAAAGTATTTTGAATCAGATTTACTCAGTTATCCTAAGACAGTACCAATAATTGTATTCAATCTGGGCCTTTAAAAAAAAAAATATATATATATATATATTATTTATTTTCCACAGAGAAGAAGGGAGAGGGATAGAGAGCTGGAAACATCGATGAGAGAGACATCAACCAGCTGCCTCCTGCACACTTCCTACCGGAGATGTGCACGAAACCAATGTACATGCCTTAACCGGAATCGAACCTGGGACCTTTCAGATAGCAGGGCGACGCTCTATCCACTGAGCCAAACCAGCTTCGGCCATTTCTGGGCCTTTTTAAAAAATAAATATTTTATTTATTTTTTACAGAGAGGAAGGGAGAGGGATAGAGAGTTAGAAACATCGATGAGAGAGAAACATCAATCAGCTGCCTCCTGCACAATCTCTACTGGGGATGTGCCCGCAGCCAAGGTACAACGCCTGGAATCAAACTGAGAAGCTTTCAGTCTGCAGGCCGACACTCTTTCCACTGAGCCAAACCGGTTTTGGCTCAAACCATTTTCACCCACAAATCTCCTGATGTTACTGACAGACACTATATTAGGGTACTGAGGCTACGAAGGTACAACCTCTTGCCCACAACTGGCTCACATAAGGGGTGCCATCTCCCCCGCCCTTACTCTACACCGGAAATGGTACAGTCATGCATGGAATGGCAGAATGAGCAATTTAGTCCACCCCCATTCCTTTTTTAGGAAATTAAAATCCAGACTTACCTAAGGTCATACATAGTACGTAGTTTCAGAGCCAGGACTAGAATCCAAAAAGATTTTCCTCACAATTCTTTTTTTAACTGACTCCTAGAGAGAGAGAGGAGAGGGAGAGAAACATCAGTGTGAGAGCCAAACATCCACCAGCTGCCTCCCGCACGCCCCCTACTGGGGATCAAGCCTGCAGCCCCGCATGTGCCCTGACCGCAATAGAATGGGCGGCAACCTGTGGGTGCATGAAGCCCAGCCAAGTAACTGCACCAGCTGGGCCCTCCCAGTTCTTTTCCTTTTAAACAACAAGAGTCGTGAAGATGATGGTTAGGAAGAAGCCAGCCTGGAGAAGCAGCGGAAGCCCGCAGTGTGCCTGGCCAGGGGACCAGGAATGGCTCAGGGTGGGGATGGGGAGGAGGGAGGCTGCCAGGGAGAGAGGGCAGCTCTCACCCCCAGTGTGGGCACGCCTCACCTGACCCAGTGAGAGCCTCGGGAATGCTCCTTTGGCTCACATTTCCGCCCGAGATGGAATTCTTTCCAAAACATATGTCTCAAGAGGAACTTGACATTTCCTGAAGCTGCTGGTTCTGAGGTCGCCTCACTTGACATCTTTAGCTTCCCACCGGCACGGCAGTCCCGAGTCCACGCCGAGTGCCCTCGGCTGGAATAACAAACATCTCTGGTGACGCTCCCAGGTGGTCACCGCCCTGGTCACAGGGTTCTGGCTGCATAAGCCCCGCTGTGGACGTGACTGTTGGCCAGGCGCTCCCTCAGCTGCTTCCTCATTTCTTTTTTCTTTTCTTTTTCTTTTTTTTTTTCTTTTTTTTTTTTTTTTTTTACATTTTTATTGATTTCAGAGGGTGCTTCCTCATCTCTGCTCTGCTGTCGCGGCTTTAGGAAGTACGAGTCACAAAGGCACAGTGGGACAGAACACTGGGTCCTTCCCACTAACGCGTTTTCCCTTTCATGCTGTCATGAACTGCACACCCTCTCCTGCCTCTCCCTCAGACACCGGCCTTACTGAGCACACTGCATCCGGGGCGCCGTGTGAAGCATTTCACAGGAGCTCGTAGGCATTAAGGCATTAACCCGCCAGGAGATGCTGGCGGTTACATAGAAGTCAGTCTTCCTGAGACGGCCAAAGGAAGGACTGATGATAAATTCAATATTCCCAGGCCAGGTGACCTACTGTCCCAGACTGCCCCCGACTGAGGGGTTCCCTGGGGTGCAGGACTTCCGGTGCTCAAACTGGATGAGCTGGTCCCCCCGCTGCTGGCACTGGCAGGGGTGGCCACCAGAGACCAGTTAATTCCACACCTGCTGTCCTTGCTGAGATTCAAGATGGGGCTCTAAAACCCAGACATGTCCATTTCATTTCCCCCCCATGAAAC